TATTCGGAATCAGAATCGTTATGTATCCTGGAGAAATCCGATGAACCACGAAGCTCTTTTTCGCAGACGTCCAATGGTTCACAGATGTCCAGTCGTTAACGGGGCTGAGGCCATCATGACAATCACTAGTGGCTGAAACACATTTCATCAAAAACCCAGCTTCTCAGCAGTGGCGGGCTCAAAACTGACACCTGAGCCACACTAGCCACCTCCAAGGTAAATTTGTCAATTAAATCTGCCGCTTGCCTTTGTCTGCATATGGATCATGAAACATGGACATCAGTGGCAAACAAAATGGGAACAAAGAATTGAAAAGTAGCGTGGATGCATTTTTGAACTTGCATTGAGAGACAGAATGAGGGACGCACACGTTGGACCATTGCAAGCAATTTAGCGACATCATATTGACTGTGAATAAGAGTAAGTGGGTTTCGACGGGGTATTCTACTATCAGTGGTCGATCCAAACAACTGGCAGCCAAAGGAGGGAACGTGCGAGATGACATCCATTGTCGAGGTATATTGATAAAGTCAGCTTGTGTGTGTGTGTATGTTGTTGAACTCCTTTCGTACGGATGTATGTACGTTGAAACGCCTTACGCGCACCGTACTTAGCCAATCGTGCTAATCGGAGGTGCGGGGGAGGCGGATTGTTACCACGAGGGACCGTGAAGGATGGCGACAGCTTTACGAGTCCTTCATGCAGCAGTGGATTGATCACGGCTGCTCATTATCATAACGATGGCTCTTCTGTGTTACAGTTCACACACATTGTGATCATGGCTATCTATTACATGTAGCGTTCGAATTCCACCCATTCCCACCTTGAGTGCAAGCAGCGGGGGTCTCCACCAAGGGCATGGTGTGATCAGGTTTTTTGCTGTCTGCAGGGAGCATTCAGGCTTCCTGTTAGACACAGCCGCTCCCATTGTATCTCGGACACTGGGAGGGAGTCCAGTTCTTGGGTACCCACCCTGTTCCAAAAGAATGTGCAAGGACCATGGGCGTTTGACCCGAGAACAAAGCGAGTCCCTGCACACTGTGGCCCGGAGACTACCTGGGGTGCCATGGCGCAGCAGCACTCTCTGTCCAGGAGCCAACCACGTTGAACTGACATGGCGAGTGCCCAGGACCGGTCAAGACGTCACTCCCCCACTGATGTGACTTGTGGCCGGGAATTGAATTCATAACACTAGGTTAATAACGCAGTGCTCAAACAACTGTAGCGCTGCTTTTCCTCGTAACCATATTGCCGATGACCAAATAACCCTGAATGTGCCCAATTTCAGTAGATAATCTGAAGGCATGTAACCATACATCTGTTTTTTTTATTTAAATAGAAACTCGCACTCAACATGCACGCATATAATCATGCCCATGAGAATCGGTTTTATTTCGATTAGTAAAAATTGTACGGAGATGGAGTTAATTTTTGACGTCAACTGAGAGAGAACAGTACACTAGGAACAACTTTATTATGACCCCAAATTAAGACTATTCATCAATTCACTCTGGGGTTGGGGGGGGTGAGCTCTTGGATGGGAGAGATTGCCTGGGAAAACCTGGTGTTGTAGGCCAGACAGGATCGGCAGCTTCGCAATGGATTATATTGAACCTCTACAGAAAGTGGGAACGGTGGCGCAGGAGTGGGTATACTGCGCCATGAACCCCCGGTGACCCCGAGTTGAATCTTGGCCATGACTGATATCAGTGGCGAGTGTTAACCTGAACCAGTCCTGGGACCACCTCACCTTCCACCCACTTTAATCAGTGTGGTGAAGTATTGTTAAGTATATCCCCTGACCTACACATCATTGGAAAGATCTTCATGCAACAATTGATTGACAAGGGGCTGTAAATGAATACATTTTGTATTGTCTACGTTACATTGCTTGCTGCCTGGAGTGGAGCACTGTCGATGTTAGAAAATCTGTGTCAGATGTAAAGTCGGTCTAATCCCTGGTTGTGCCTGGTCAGGGTCACGCCGGGTATTGGTAACAGACTTCTCTGGCGAGCGAGGTCCGTGTAATCGTACGCGCTGGGTTATTTTTATAGCGTGAGAATGCGGCGGTGGTGGCGGTACTGCTGGGAGTAGTGGTGCCTCTCGTGGCGGTAGGGGCATTGATTATCGGTCGGTGTTAATGCTCTGAACAGCTGTTTTGTGTAAATGGCCAACAGCTGTTAAAACTGCTGCAAATTGCCTGTGCTAGTGGAGGGCACCTTACCGATCCAGGAATTTTACATATGGTGGCAGTGTCATGATTATAAGCACATGACTACTTGCACGTTGAGATCTGAGGCACGGCGACAATAAGTAGTGCCAACCTCCCACGTATCATTTTTGTTTTAGTCTTGAAAATGATCATAAGCAGCCGCTGTCTATCCACTCACGGATGAAGGTCTCCCCACACCGTCGCCAACCCTCGCGGTCCAGTGCCGCTGCGATCCATCGCGCGTGACCTGATCTCATCGCTCCATCTCATCTGTGGTCATCCTCTTGGATGCGCCACATCCTTTGGCTGCCACTCCATCGCCAGTCTCGCCCATTGGCCATCATCCCATCTCGCGATGTGCCCTGCTCAAGCCCACTCGTGTGTGTGTGTGTATATATACATATTTTGGCAACAAGCATATGCAAAATATTATATTGCCTATTAGTCAGAATCATATGTTTATTTAATCATCAATTAATTATCTGTAAAAAGTGCCTTTTGACAGTATGGTTGCATGCCAAGTTTTCTCCTGCCAATAGAGCATGCTGATAAATTGTTCCGTAAACAGTGTTGGCCAAACATTATTTCGCAGGCTGTTTATTCAGAGTTTACAAATGTAATTTTAATGTTCTGCAATACGGGGCAGTTCTTTGCATGCTGTAATTATGCCTTGAGATTGGGATGCGTGTAAACTGGAACACTAAATCCAGAACATGTTGTGAACAAATTGTGATCATATTATTAGCAGCTTCCAACCTAGCTGAACCAAGTAACATGCAAATGACAATTCATTCGGTATGCTAATACAATGTTGATCCTACCTATAATTGCAAAACATTCAAATTTTACAGGCCTTTGTCAATCCACTGCTGAATGAAAGCATTATGGGATTTGTTTGACTATACTTGACGTGAGTCAGTATCAGTTGGTGAATGGGATGTCCTGTGCAAATATTGCTCGCAAAGTTCAAAGTACAGTGTGCTCACCAATGCACCGATCACTCCTCAATATACCACACATGCCTAGTGTGCATGCTTGTTTACATGTTAAAAAGACGGTGAAATATTGGTAGTGTACTGATAATGACAGACATTTTTCAAACTAAATACTGCCGTGCTATGTTTTTTTGGGTTTCTTGCTGATGAAAGTGGCTGAATTTGAACATCAAAGTATTCTTTGATGCCATTATTCACGGAGAAGCATCCCAAATGTTTCGAACTCGACTTTCGGTAGCCATGGAACATCAGCCACACACATAAAAAAAAAAACAGATGATGCAAGATTTCAGGATGTTTTGACAGTGGAAGTCACACGGGGTGGGGGGAGGGGGTAGTAGAGAGACAAGCACGAAGGGGAAGTAGGAAGCAAGTCGAATATTTGTTATCAGTATTATGCAGCCCTTTCTCAATCCACTGCTGGATGAAGGCCTCCTCATCCATGCCATGTCGGGCATGGAGATTGCTTAAGCATTGCTCAACCACGCCGGTGTCGGTGCGGGTTAGTGGAAGAAGGGAGTGCCCAGCACCGGCTCGGATATCACTGGCCACTGGTGTTGGCCATGGCCGGGAATCACACTTGGGAAAAACTGTGTTCATAACGCAGTGCACTGATCGCTGTGCCACCGCAGCAGCAGCGCCCCCACCACTGCCACCCCAATCGCAGAATTAGCTCGGCAAAACATTTGCGGGCCGTCTAAAATTAGTGTTTCTGAAAATGAAATTAAACGTATAAATTTGCACTAATTCCTTGGTAGTCAAGTTCATTGTCATGGGCAAGTAGTAGTGAGAGGTCAAGGCTTTGTTTTCGGCTTCACATTAGGACAGGCAAGTGTTTTTTTTTTGCTCTTCACTCACCAACTGGATGCCGGAAACACCCTTTAAACATCCACTCTATATATAAAAAAAACAGGGCATCATCTGCCCAAAAGTGGGTCTTACGCAGCCTATGTTGGGAGTATTTTTTTCGTCGGGTGATTTTTTTTTTTTACTCAAAGTCACGTCCTACTCTGCCAGAATGCGTTTTTGCTTATCCTTGTGTGTGCGTGTGTAAGAAAAACAGAGTGATACGCGCTTACTCTATTGATAGGGGGTGTGGGATCGCTGTTGTGGGCTAAGGAGTCACGGGAAGAATAATGGAGAGTTTGACATATCATCTGAACGTTTTCACAACAGCGCAGAATGGCTGCAAATCTCATCGTAACTCCCTTCGCATTGGCCTTTTTGAGAATTTATAGTCGACGCAATGAAGTTATTTTGTGGCCGAGTCATGTTCCATACATGGGTCTGGAATGTAATTTCACTAACTGCATAGTCTGTCATTCTAAACAACACATTCCTTCATTGAAAAAAAATGTGTTAATCTGTTATGCATATTCTTGGTTCTTTCGATAAAGTCACGTAGAAGGGAAATAATCCAATTATGCATAATAGAGGGGTTTTTTTTCGGTTAGATTACGGAAATATAAATGTGTGGTTGAACCTGCCACCACCCAACACAGCCAATCAGTAAAGTTCATCACGGAAACAAAACATGCCTATTAGTTACGAGTTCAGAACACAGGTGTAATAACTTTGCTTACGTGTCAAACCTTACTAATTGGCTGTATCTGGTGGTGGTGGGTTTAGCGACACATTTATATGAACGAGACCTAACTCAAAAAAATGTCTGGATAATTTTGGTCGCAAAAGCTCTACGTGTTAAACATTCGTCTGTTATGGTTTGCTGCTCGTTGTTAAAAGAGATGCGCAAAAAATATGAATCTGTCGCCTCACTCGCCCTGTGCGCACAGGGATCTGAAGCTGGACAACATCTTGCTGGACGCTGACGGACACTGCAAGCTCGCCGACTTCGGCATGTGCAAGGAGGGCATCCTCAACGGCATAACCACCTCCACCTTCTGCGGAACGCCCGACTACATCGCCCCAGAGGTACGGTCAATCCCTGTCCCTCTTGTGTGTTTACCTTCCGTGCGCTGCTGGAGGTAATACACGGCAAGTTAGGTTGCAAAACTGGCAGGATGGAGTTTGGGAAATCTTAATAACGGTAATGATGTTTTATTTGCCCACAAAAGCCTTTCTAAGTCTCAGGACACTTTATTTGTTAGTGGGTTACTGCTGTATTGGCATTTTAGGCCAACATCATTTTCTAAGTGTTTTGCGTGTGGGAGGAAATTGGAGTACATGGAGGAAGAGCCGCCACACACAGAGAGGATAACATTCCAAGCTCAAAACAGATAGAATCAAGAACGCATCGCTATCCTGCCATATTTTGGCTACATCACAGGCCAGTGGCTTTAGGAGTTTCACGAATTTATATTTCACCCCAGAAATCCTTTCCTTCTAAGCGCTGGATCACAGGCGCACACGGACAATACAAATGAGACGCAACAGAATCGCTTCTTAAACCAACTCCAATTCGTTGTGAAAAGTCATAAAAATCACAGAGGAGAGAGAGGGCGTTACATGCCTCATCATCATCAGCCTTGATCAATCCAATCCACTGTTGACTAAAGGCTTCCCCAAGCCATCGCCACCCCCAACTGTAATTATCCTGCAATCCTGAAATCCAAGCCTATATAATTGCCCCAACTGCTCGGTAGACATGCCCAATGATATCATGGGACCTTTTTTGTTTGTTTGCATGTTCACCACAAGTATGTGTGGCTTATGCATACTTGACTCCTTGCAAAAGGAATCTGTTTGGTGTTTGAACATCTTAACACCTCTTTTATTGCCAGAAAGGGTAAAACCTATTCTTATTTTTCATGCCCACATGAGTTCCGGCGAGAGTTGAGCTACACACCCTGATAATACTTAACCGCATCAGTTGCTATATAGCCCAGATGTCTGTCATTAATTTTGCCGCGGTCCGGAGCACCTGCATGCAAACCCAACATTTGGTAAAACCGTTTCCATGCAGGTTCCGCCTATTGGCTGCCACAAGGGAGCAAATGCGCCACGTCATCTTTTCGCGCGGCTTTTTCACTTCACGTCGAGATTATGTTTCCCTTGACCCCCCTTCCCCTCTCGGAGGGTCACGACGGACGCCGGCGAATGCTCGTGAGCATCTGCGCGGCCGTGCGTCCTCCAGCGCCTGCCTTGGGTTAAACAGATAGCGTGACAAGGCCCTCGCCCCCTGCACGGGTGCCTTTGCACACAAAGACAAAGATCCCCCGTATAGCACCAACAGGGGGGCAAGTGCCGATAGCGAGCGCCTATGAAGGCCGGCACTGTGGCACACGAGGTAGGGATGGGTTGGCCAGCACCGTTGCCCGGCTGGCTTTGTCTCCCCAGTGGTGATGTTTACACACCACACCAGGTATTCATTTGAATATACATATATTGGCAATAAGCATGTGTCAAATATTATGTTACACCCAACGCCGACCCTCGCCAAATAGGTGAGCTTGCTTCGAATAAAGGTTGGCTCCCGGGATTGTAATTCGACGCCCTCTTTCGTGCTGATGCATATCCACCCCCACCGCCTCCCGCTGTCTCGATCCTCATGACGAGATTAGCCATCGGGGACGCCATGTGTCATCATTGTGCTTTTATGCAAGCGTCGTGGGCATGTTGTATGCCGTCTCGGATAACAACCACTGCGGATTAACCGCCGGCAACGTGTACCCCATTTAAGGCCTCGTATCCACTTGCGCCGGTTAAGGTTCGAGTGTTAGAAGGTAAAATGTTTTGATTTGCTCATTCGTGCATTAAGTGCATTATGCCTTTTTTTTTTAAGAACCGAAAAGTGCTTTTCGCAACGCGTTGTGAGATTATGTTATTAAAGATTAGTTTGTGCATTTGGTTGTAAGGTTAAGGAATTTCTGAAGCTTATAAATTGTGTAAGGAAATGTATGCTGTAAATTAGAAATGGTACACATGCCATTAATTTAGTTTGCTTACTGTCTAAAACATTGCTCAACCAATTGAAACGATTCTCTATATTCTGTAGAATTAAACAACATTATCTGTAACAGGACATTTTAATAGTTTTTGTCATCTTAATGTGCGTGTTGCCTGTTTGTAAAAAAAAAAATCCCTTTGCTTACAACGGTGTGATTAAAACCGAATCGAAAATTTCACTTGAGATATTTATGCAACCAACACGACATCGCGCTTGTCACAGTGGACTGTCACCTGATAATTAAATGAAGTTCATATCAATCTAGATTTGAAGTTTTCGTGACTGCAGGGATCCATGCTCTTTGGTTCTTTCGGTAAAAAGTCACGTGGGTAGCACTCCCCCCCCCCCCTCTCCTCCCTGCCCCCCCCCCCTCTCTTACCTAGATAACCTCGTGTTACAGGAGTCATTCTGCCCACTTCAGCAGTTGTTTCTTGCTGTGGTTGTTCCACCTGATGACGGACGCTTGTGTTGCGCCCGAAACGTCGTGATTTAATTTATGCTATTGTATACCTACGTGACTTTACCACAAGAACCAAAGAGTATGAAGTTCATATCAATAAAGTTCCCTCCACTGGCTCCAAATGCAATTGTGGACTCGCCCCCCTGCCTGCTCCTCCTCTCTCACCTCACTCTCCGCTCCACATACAAGGCTTCCTATGCAAATCCCCAGTTAGCCTTCACTCGGTGGGGTAGTTACTTGCACGTGTTCCTCACGTTTTCTGGTACCTCTTGCTCTGATATGTCGTGCGGTATTTCTTCAACGGCCCTGAACGCGTTTCTCTGCAATACCGTACCGATGTTTTTGTCTGTTGTTGTTGTTGGTGGTGGTGGTGGTGTGCTACGGATCTTACTTGTTAAACAGCAGGGCAACTGGCTGATGGGGATCACCCATGTGATAAACCACACAAATACAAACTGGTCCAAAAGCCTGTTCCTCTCACCTGTCCCACACTATGAACTCCTTGCCCCTGTTCTCGTCCAGGCTCAACACCTCGTTAAAAAATAAAATCCAAATGGCCTGTCACTGCGTCTTTTTCTCTACACACATTAAATATGCCCACTATTTCTGTAGAAGTGTTTTGAGATGCACTCTAATTGAGACAATTTATAATTCCATAATAGGATGTATTATGTTCTCGAACAAATGTAAACGTGACATGATCGTGAACACAATCTTTTGCTCATTTATTTTCACTCGTGTAGTTTCAAAGGATTGTATTTAAAATCTCACTCGGTACATTCACATGTTAAGTTGTTGGCTCTCGCTCGCATAGGTTGCAGATGATCCCTTCCTAGACGTGTGCAAGTTGCAGGGTGTGGGGTGCCCCATTCTCAGCCGAATCTGGGAACGCGCAGGCGGTTCGTGTCGATTTTATTTTGAGAGGCGTAGCGCCGCTGTTTTTAAAAACATTGTTCTCACCAGAGAGAACCGTAGCGACACGACCGCGCTCTATGATCGCCAGCGCTCAACTGTGCCACTCGCCCTCCTGCACGTCATTGGAACAGAATAGGAAGACAAACCGATGACATGCACATACGACATCGGGATGGAAAAGTGTTAACGGTGGTTTGCGAGAGAAAAAAATATATTTTTCTTAAGCACATGCTCGTTTTAATTAGTGGCTGCCGATTCGTTTGGGGGTCAAGTAAATAGAAAATAACGTACAGTGAGGGAAAAAAAGTATTTGATCCCCTGCCGATTTTGTACGTTTGCCCACTGACAAAGAAATGATCAGTCGATAATTTTAATGGTAGGTTTATTTGAACAGTGAGAGACAGAATAACAACAACAAAATGCAGAAAAACGCGTGTAAAAAATGTTACAAATTGATTTGCATTTAAATGAGGGAAATAAGTATTTGACCCCTCTGCAAAATATGACTTAGTACTTGGTGGCAAAACCCTTGTTGGCAATCACAGAGGTCAAACGTTTCTTGTAGTTGGCCACCAGGTTTGCACACATCTCAGGAGGGATTTTGTCCCACTCCTCTTTGCAGATCTTCTCCAAGTCATTAAGGTTTCGAGGCTGACGTTTGGCAACTCGAACCTTCAGCTCCCTCCACAGATTTTCTATGGGATTAAGGTCTGGAGACTGGCTAGGCCACTCCAGGACCTTAATGTGCTTCTTCTTGAGCCACTCCTTTGTTGCCTTGGCCGTGTGTTTTGGGTCATTGTCATGCTGAAATACCCATCCACGACCCATTTTCAATGCCCTGGCTGAGGGAAGGAGGTTCTCACTCAAGATTTGACGGTACATGGCCCCGTCCATCGTCCCTTTGATGCGGTGAAGTTGTCCCGTCCCCTTAGCAGAAAAACACCCCCAAAGCATAATGTTCTTGGGGTCATAGGCAGCATTCCTCCTCCTCCAAACACGGCGAGTTGAGTTGATGCCAAAGAGCTCCATTTTGGTCTTATCTGACCACAACACTTTGACCCAGTTGTCCTCTGAATCATTCAGATGTTCATTGGCAAACTTCAGACGGGCATGTATATGTGCTTTCTTGAGCAGGGGGACCTTGCGGGCGCTTCAGGATTTCAGTCCTTCACGGCGTAGTGTGTTACCAATTGTTTTCTTGGTGACTATGGTCCCAGCTGCCTTGAGATCATTGACAAGATCCTCCCGTGTAGTTCTGGGCTGATTCCTCACCGTTCTCATGATCATTGCAACTCCACTAGGTGAGATCTTGCATGGAGCCCCAGGCCGAGGGAGATTGACAGTTCTTTTGTGTTTCTTCCATTTGCGAATAATCAACTGTTGTCACCTTCTCACCAAGCTGCTTGGCAATGGTCTTGTAGCCCATTCCAGCCTTGTGTAGGTCTACAATCTTGTCCCTGACATCCTTAGAGAGCTCTTTGGTCTCGGCCATGGTGGAGAGTGTGGAATCTGATTGATTGCTTCTGTGGACAGGTGTCTTTTATACAGGTAACGAGCTGAGATTAGGAGCACACTCTTAAAGGGAGTGCTCCTAATCTCAGCTTGTTACCTGTATAAAAGACACCTGGGAGCCAGAAATCTTTCTGATTGAGAGGGGGTCAAATACTTATTTCCCTCATTAAAATGCCAATCAATTTATAAAATTTTCGACATGCATTTTTATGGATTTTCTTGTTGTTATTCTGTCTCTCACTGTTCAAATAAACCTACTATTAAAATTATAGACTGATAATTGCTTTGTCAGTGGGCAAACGTACAAAATCAGCAGAGAATCAAATACTTTTTTCCCTCACTGTAAATGCGTGATTTTAACAATTAAGAAGCAATACAATTAGATGTAAAATTAGATGTAAAATTCCATGAATAAAGGATTTATTCCTTCGGCATGAATAAATCCTTTATTCATGCCTAATTTACCAGTGTTATGTATGTAGAACTTATTGTGCACCGTACGTAGCCAACCGTGCTAATCAGAAGTGCTGAGGAACGACAACAAATTTATCACAAGCAGCAGTTCTAAGGAGATTAGTTTTCAATCTACATTTTAAAGTGCATAACTCTAGTGGCTTCCTAATGTCAAAAGGAAGAGCCGCAGAAGCGCATCTGAAAGCACGCGATGCGATGACCGCCTTTGTTCGATGTCCAGCCAAAATCCGCTGCCGCGTGGATGACCGGAGTCCGCGAGATTGATAATTATGCTCCTTGTATTAAACGTGTTCTTTAGTTGTATCTTGGTCACAACATCCCCTCCCCCCCCCCGGCCCCCCTTCCCTCGTATTGTTCCGGATAATAGAGATCGTAAATATTTGCGCCCTTTCGCAAAAAAAAAAAAAACCACCGTTAACTCTCTCGCTCGCAGATCCTGCAGGAGCTGGACTACGGCCCGTCCGTGGACTGGTGGGCCCTGGGGGTGCTCATGTATGAGATGATGGCCGGGCAGCCGCCCTTCGAGGCCGACAACGAAGACGACCTCTTCGAGTCGATCCTCCACGACGACGTCCTCTACCCCGTGTGGCTCAGCAAGGAGGCCGTGTCCATCCTGCGCGACGTGCGTAACGGCCCGGCACGGCCCGGCGTCCCGTTATATCGCGTACACGGCTTCTGTCCCGTGCGCCCCGTAGTCAATGCGGAGCTGCCGATCGGCACCGCGAGCTCAACTCGTCGCGCACCCGATCCCTCGTCGTTTTGTTTCCCGCGGTCACGCCTCGAAACCCGTGTGTTGAACGAGTTCTCCCCGCAGCACCAACAGGAAGTAAGGATGCGTACGTTGGACTTCTTCCGCACCGTATGTAGCCAACCGTGCTAATCGGAGGTGCGGGGGAAGGACAACAAGTACAAAAAGCAATTCTAAAGAAATTCGATTTCAGTCCATATTTAAAAGTGAATGGCTCAACAGTGGCGTCCTAATATCGGAAGGAAGAGTGTTCCAGACGGCCTGAGAAGCACGTCTGAAAGTGGTCGATGGCGTGATCTTCTTTGTTTGATGGCTAGCCAAATGCCCCGTTGAGGATGTCCGGAGTTCGAATGAGCAGAGCACTGCACGTTGGTAGTAGCACACATGAACAACACGTTTCCAGGATTATTATTCTGCATACGTATACGCAGAATAATAATCTCACCTGTAGAATAACTCGTATTTATTCGCATCATTGCGTATTGTGCAAAGTTTCACAGTGGAGAGTTTTCAACGTCCTCTTAAATCGCGATACGTTTTCCGGATAAGCGCTGTGATCGGGGAGCAGATTCAACAGCTGCAGTCCCCTGTAGCTATCCTCAAGTTGGCAAGCGGGGGCAGCAATATGGTCGTGGCGGGCCATCAATTGTAAATTTCACAAGTGTATTTTTTTGTATTGCTACCACGTATCTACCTGCGTGCATGTTGAACAATGCCAGTTTTATGAATGATTTCTGTACATGAAATTGTTTGGAACATTTTATTTTGGGTCACACAGGGCACGTGCGTAGCCTTGCTTAAAAAACACAACCTAAAACGGTGATTACACTTGCGGTTATTGGGTGCTTTAAACATTCAACGCCTCTGCCAAGGTGGACGAGAAAATCTCGACTTTATTGAATTTGTTTGCGCACCGTCCCCATCTGCGCGTGCAGTTCATGACCAAGAACCCAAATAAGCGGCTGGGCTGCGTGGTGACGCAGGGGGGAGAGGAGGCCATCAAGCGCCACTCGTTCTTCCGCGAGATCGACTGGGACCTCCTTGAGCAGCGCAAGATCCGTCCGCCCTTCAAGCCCCGCATCGTACGTACGCCCCCACCGCACCGACAGAAACGCCGCCACGGCACCACAACAACGCTCCCACCGCACCGATAACAATGCCGCACCGATAACAATGCCCCAATGCATCGACAACAACGCCCCACCGCACCGACAACAACGTCCACCATACCAACAACACCGCCCCATCACACCACAACAACGCCCACCGCACAAAAAAAAATGAGCCACCGCACCAACAACGGCCACCGCATCAACAACAATGCCCACCGCACCAACAACAACGTCCCAACGCACCACAACAACCCACCGCACCAATAGCAACAACGTCCGCACCAACAACAACCCCCCTCGGCACCAACAACAACGCCCACCGGCTTTTGATTACGCGCTTTGGTCTTTCTATTCAGGAACTAATTTTTATTTTTGTTATCCGGATTGCGCTTATCGGTGTCATGGTCATGAAGCTATCCGTTCGTGTTTGAAAATGACACGCGGGATCTTGATATCGCAGAGCCACAACTGAGACCCCTTTTGAGTAAACTCTGGTCTACCAGAGCAGAGAGGGCAGCGCTCCCCCTCCCATAGGTAGGAGGAACGCCCGTCACGTCACGGCCCGGCCCATCCGATATTTAAATTCTCAGAAGCTGGAACTTGGCATCAACTTAAGTGTGGAATCAAATTTAGCGTCGTGGTTTTTCTCTGTCGCCGCCCCATTGGTAACTGGGCGGAGATCTTGGCGTGAAAACTCGGTCTAATCACAGGTGACTGCCCGGATTATAACCCCGTGATGTGGGGCTCGGTCCTCTGACCTCCGAGCCTCCCGGCCACCTTGTTGACGCACTCCGTTATTAAAGCGTGGCCCCGTACTGATCTCGGCGCTTGGCAATTTCGCATGTCGGTGGTTTTCTTTGGTCGGACTGTTGGGTGTGGGGGGCGGTCTAGAAAGGACACGCTTTGGGCCTTGTTGATTAAAGCACCGACCAGGGGTGAGAAGAGGCTAAATTAGTATCTGTGGAAGGACAAGCAGGATTATCTAAATCAAGCAGCCCCATGTGGTTTTTTTTTCGGTTTAGCAGTCTCACTTTACCTGCTCTACATCGTCCGTGTTCCGCACCACACCTGCGGCGTAACGACGGATGCAAATGCGCTCAGAGTGACCAAACGAGCTGGCCTGGTGCGCGCGGCTGGTGTCATTGTTAGTGATTGATGAAGAAGCAAACGAAAAATATTCTCGGTTATTTCGGTAAAGTCACGTAGAAGGGAAACAATAAAATAATAATATAAAACCATATTTTTTATAAAACCATATTTTTATTATTTTATTGTTTCCATTCAACGTGACTTTACCGAAAGAACCAAGAATATGAATCCATGCAGTGACGGAAGCTTTAAATCAAAATTCAAACGAAAAATGTTTAGCGCATTTCGCATACCTGCGTTTAGCTGCACGTGACGGCCGCGGCCAGCTTGGGAAATACTAATTTTACACCCGCCCAGGGGCAATGGGGAAAGAAAATGGCTCTCGGTTTATCACCCTGTCCCGCAGCCTTGACAATTCCTCACGCGTCCTACAATCCCGCCGCGGGTCACGTGCAATTGATAGTCGCTTCTCTCCCACTGCTCACGATCCAACCCCGCGTGGTTCTCATCCCCACCCGCCACCTCCCCCTCTCCTGCCACCGTCTCTCTCACCGACCCGCCCGCCCGCCCGCCTGCAGAAAACCAAGAGGGACGTGAACAACTTCGACCAGGACTTCACGCGCGAGGAGCCGCTGCTGACGCCGGTGGACAGCAGCGTCGTGAAGCAGATCAACCAGGACGAGTTCCGGGGCTTCTCCTTCTCGGAGGACGACGCCCAGTGACGGTCGACTTGCCGGCGACGTGGCGCGGCCATCACTCGATCGTCCGTCCGCTCGCTCCCTCCCTCCCTCCCCCCTCGCTCACGCGAGGTGGCGCCTGCTCGCTGACAGACAGACACGACGGTGTTGAGATTTTATTTATTTGCAGCAAACAAAAAGTGGAGCGGGAATCGCAAAAAATGGGGACCTCCCCCCCCCCCCCCCCCCCCCCCGTGATGCGGTGAAATTAAACCCGGGTTGTTGACGGGCGTTAGCCAGGCGGCACGTGAGCGCTCTTCAAGTTGGAGGTGTGTCACTTGCTACCGGGAGTCCTTATCGATTCCCGTTTACATGTTTTTGTTTTGCTCGACATAAAAAGTAATATTGCTGATGCAGCGACAAAAGAATACTAATTATTTATTCTTTACTCCTGGCCGTAGAGCGTGTAAAAGCGTCTACCTTTGCACGGAAAACAAAAGTATAAACGGACGACGGCTCTGTTACTGATGGGCGCAACTCAAAACGCTCCAATGTGTTTGCGTGAAATGTTCCGACGGGGGCGTTCTGTTTTCCTCCCCACAGTTAGTTTAATTGTATAGTGTTAGTAGCAAGCAAACGTGCCCGCGCGCGCGTGTGTGTGTGTCTCCTCCGGTAAAATATGCGTCTTCTGGCGGATTTAAAAAAAAAAAAACATTGATGGGCGTAAACGCACCGCCGTTTCGCATCTCGCTGTAAAACTGACACAATTAACTATTTAAAATATTTATGCGATTTTATTTTATGACACCTCCCCCCCCCCCCCCCCCCCTCCTTTTTGTAAGCAGGAAACTTGTTACCCTGAAGTGGAACCGACGTGTGGCGGTTGCCTACCGTGATCGGTTGGGGAGGGGGAGGATGGTGACACTGTGTTAGAAAAAGTCTTGCCATTTTAACACTCCTCATCATTTCGTTCGTGGTGTGGCTCTCCAGAGCAGTAGTGTTTTGTTACAGAGTAGATTGTAGTTAGGAAAGTAGGGGGGGGGGGGTAGTGGTGGGGGGTGGGGGCGCTATTTTAAAATCCCACCATCCACTCCCACACCCACCCGTGCCTTTACCTCCACCCGCAACCTCCGATTAGCACGGTTGGCTATGTACGGTGCGAAAGAAGTTAAACGTGCATATCCGTACACCCATTGTAGTAACTCTGCACGTAATTGCACGAATTAATTTGTACGCGTCGGCTTGGAAACGTGACGTTTTTAACAACAAAAAGCACCGAGGGGTGTTCCGATGAAGTGACTTGGTTGAATTTACGGCAGTATTTCTTATTCCCCATCCACTGACGTTTTTGCACGCAAGTTTCATTTTCCACCTTGAAAAAAAAAACATTCTTAATGAGGTCTCCGCTTAAATTCCGCATTAACCCCCTCCTCCGAGTGGCGTGCAGATGGTGGGAGAGTTATCGTGGTTTTTTTTGTCATAGTTTTTTTTATATATATAGTATTTTAAATTAACGCTTACTAATAGAGTCATTAGTAGACACGTAAAAATCAAATGTCTTCGTTACGTCATTTTGTTACTCTCGAAAAGTCGCGCGGTGTCGTGCCACGTTGGTTGTCAGCCTTTGCCCCCCAGACGTAAACGGGGCTGTGGTAAGTGGCGCATGACGGTAATCGGTTCTGTGGGTTACGTAACTGTGATGTAAACGTCGTACCCTGTCGCTCGCCGACAGACAGACAGGCGAAACCGTGTGGGTTTTCTGGAGAGCGTGTTTGGTATGGATGTGTGGGCTTATTGACGTGACACTGTGGTTTCACCAGCTGCTTGCTTTAGGCCAGCAAACCCGTGCTGTTTAGACCCCCCCCCCCCCCCGGAATGTGCTCGTTCCGGAATGTGTGTGTTTTAAGGGTGCTGCGTACAGTGCAAGAACCACTGCGCGAGTGAATACAGGTTCTCTTTTAAGATGAAACGTCACCAGAATTATCGTGTTCACGCATATTTGAAACAAGCATTTTGATGTATTGATTTTATTTAAATTATCTGTACAATTCACTCCACTGCTGGACTGGAGCCCTCCCCGCAACACGTGGTTCGTGGGGGGCTATTTGTCCACACTTAATGTTGGTCAGCGAGGGTTGGCGAATGCTGGGAGCATAGACATTGGGGCATAGTGCAGTACAACAATGGAAATTGCTGCACTGCCCTCTGCTGTCCGTATTGTGGCCCCACAGCAGGCCCAGGATACCCGATCCATGAATGGTGATCGCCCATCTAAGCACGAACCAGATAGCTGCTAAAATCGCATGAGATCAGGTGCATTCCTAGGTGATTTGGTCACCGGATTAATTGTTTTTGTTGTCACCCCCCCCCCGCACCTCCGATTAGCACAGGTGCGAAATAAGTTCAACATACATCTAAATATTTGGCTTTTGCAACAACTACAACAAGATTATTCCAATAAAAGTGGAGTCGGACATGTTCACGCAAGCCAATACCTCAAAAGAACTCCTCTACTCGTGGAATCTTCTGTTGTTGCCGACCAACAATGCGTACACGTGCACTGACCGTATTATTTAGTCCACCGTGAGCCAGCCGATTAGGATAACACTTTTAAAGATGAAAGAAAGAACCTCCCCCCCCCCCCCCCCCCGATTTATTAACCGTTCTGTGCAATTATGTCGTCGGTCGCTTGGCCGATAATGTCTCCAAGTGTCGGCGAGTGGCGGGCGGGCGGGGTGGCGTACGTCGTGATGGATTTGTTGGCGCTTTGACAGTTCATCGTTTTTTGTAGGAAGCGAGACCGGCTTGTGGCCGGCCCCCGACCCACCTTTTGTCGGCCCCACCACCGATGCAGGTCTCTCCGACGGGGGGGGGGGGGGGGGTGGCGCACGGCGTTTGTATCAACACCCACGGGGGAGATCAGCCATTCCCTCGCCGCGTCGTCGTAACGTCGCGTCACGTCGTTGCGTTGGCAAGTTGTTAAACGACGATCCCCGCGAGAAGTTCGCAACGTTAAGGCGGTCGCCCCTCCAATAGCCGGTCCAATCGCTCCACACCCCCCCCCCCCCCCGCGACTGCTGTCTGTTTACGGAATTCAACTGTCGTTACGTCTTTCTGTTTTATCATTCAGGGGGGGGGGGGTGTTGTTTTTGAGGGTCAACGTATTTACACGGCGCACCGAGGTGGAGGAGGAAGAAGAAGAAAAAATAAATATGAATAATCGTTAATCGCGGGACGGCTTTTGGACAACGAGGCTCTTTGTTTTCCCCGTGATAATTAACATCGCTTAGCTCGGCTCACATTGAGCGGCGAGTTGCACACGGGGGTGGGGGGGGGGGGCAAAGAAGTCCGTTGTGTGTGTGTGCACGTAGATTAGACAGGTCTTATGAGAGGTCTTATCCAGGGTGCGTGATTAGTGCGCCCCGGTTGCATTTATGTGTTTTGTTTTTGTTACACTCGATAACAAACACTCCCAACGTCGGTGAATGCAATTGCATCCCGTGTGCTCGTCGCGTCGCCGATGGATACGTGCATTCGGAGTTTAATGCCGAAAATGACGACGAGAAACTATAAAAACTAAATCAAGCAATCGAGCGACCTACAGAATGTTCCGTTCACTTTTGACTTTTTTTTAATTCCGTATGTGTGTACACAAATACACTAAGACACGTGTATAAACATTGAGTCGACGTTTATATACCAAATGTTCAACATGTGCACATTTGTTATAGCTTATGACCCAATCTGTATACACGCTGTATATATAAAATTATGTCATTGCAGGTTGAAAATACTTGACAAGCCTTGTCATTAACTCTCCCTTATAACTGACAAATGTCATCAGTTGCTGTATATTTTCAGTTATAAGTGTGACCGACGATAATAATAACAAAAGTAGTGGTAATGGACCTCGTCTTCTGGTTACACCACCACTGGGCAAGGCAGTTTCTCAACGAAAGACTAAACCCATAAAACGAATCGCCCGTATAGCCACAAACCTCGGCTGTGCATGCCTTTTGCGGTCCCACTTGACTTTTACGCTTCATTGGTGAGTAACAAACGGCTCTAAAAGTGACTTGCGGGTGACCCAACCTAGGTGTGTAGCTATACGACAAGAGCCCTTCGTGGTTTGTGTCTTCACTTTAACCGAGTTCTCTGCAGTGTGTGCTGCAACTTGTTCTGCACGAAATTCATGCGGAGTATTCCCTCTTGAGCAGGATTTGTGAGCAATTTAGCCGAGCCCGCTTTTGTCGTAAGAGTCTGCGTGCATGGCTGGCATTGAGCCATTTTCACCACCGAGTACTATCTACTATTCTACCAATAATGCATGTGGTACATGTGCCTATATTGTGGCACGCACCAGTACGTGTGTGTGTGTATATACACGTGCGTTACACGCACGTACGCCGAACACAAGATGCAACTCCCCCCACCCCCCCCAAGAAAACGAATCGTTCATGTAGGCGTGTAACGACACTCGTCTTGCAGGAGTCTGACACTTCATTAATCAGAAGAAAAAACAATGCTTTTAAAGTTGCTACCAAGTGCATCGCCGTAGCACTTTCGTGACATCAATGCGCGTTGATGAAGTGTAATGGTGTCACGATAGCATGCCACAGTGACGCACGCGATCGTAACTTTGTAACTCTCGTGCATGAATTATTAAAAACATTCTGATTAGATGTCGGCGGTGAAAGTGTTCTCGTATAACTTCATAGCAGTCGGATATACACTTATTTCGTAGTTGCCCCCCACATTGGACACATTGCACAAGAGGGTTAAAGTATTTTTTTGCATAAACGTTTTTTTTTTCACAACGCTACGCATTCGTATCGGACGCACAGCCTAGATATTTATGTACAAGATAATAGCTGTTTGTGGGGAGGTGGGGGGGGGAGGTTTATTTTGTGTTAGGTCGCGACTTTAAAGAGAGGCACTTTGTTCGTGAGAAAAGTGTGGCTTCCGTGTTGGCTCGCACGCTCAATGAATGGCTCGGTGTTGGTGCCCAGACGGTGGCTTCGCCGTCTTATCTGCACGGAACTTACCTGGTCTGCCGTACATCAACAACAGCGACGCAGAGTCGCCGTCTCGCCGCGCGCATCCTTTGCTATTCTGAGCATGCATTACTAAAGGAGCCTGCTTCCGGCGCTGTATATTGACGATGTAACTGTCGCCTCCACTGTCAGTATTGTGATATCTTAATGCAGTGTTCCCCTCGACATTTCTCTCTAGCGACCCCACGTGCCCCCCCCCCTACCCCATCCCCATCTTATTTCTTCCCCCGGAAAAAGGATGACCGTCGCCCATTGTTATTAATGGTAAACAATCAAATTCACGTATATAGCTGTGTATCATATAATTACATAATATATGCATAATGATACGTGTTTGAAGTCGCTGCGTCGAGTGAAATATAAATATATAATTTTAATTTCCTCCGTGTCTCTCTGGCTTTAAAAAAAATCTAATGTTTGTTGTACAGTTCCACCCCCCCATATTAATAAGATCGACTCCCATGCAGGTGTGTATTGAATATGTGAACATAAACATCGTGTGTGCCGCTGTGTAACGTGTTCCACGTATATCTACTGTGACTGTTCAATAAATAAATGTTATTTGCAAAACGCGGGTTTTCGTCGTCTGTGCATCTGTGTGTGTGTGTGCGCGTGTGGGGGAGTGGTACCGCAGTGGTTAGCGCACTGCGCTACGAACCCGGGCGACCCAAGAGTACTATTTCCACTCACGGCCAACAGCAGTGACGATTATCTGAATCGGTCATGGGCCTCTCCTACGTCGACTCAGCCTCAAATGAAGTACCTGGTGCGGTGTGGCGTAAACATCGCCACTGGGGAGGCGGTGGGGCGTGGTGCTGGCCACCCACCCATTCGTGTGCCGTGCCGACCTCCAGAAGTGATACTCGCTCACAGCACTTGCTCCTACAGTCTGTTAAGGCTATGCGGGGGAATCTTTGGAAGTGATTTAATGGGGAAGGTTCTACCATGTGCTAGTTTATCCAGAGGGGCATTAAGTTCCGTCGTAAATTTATTTTGTTTAAACCAGGTGACAACTCAGCATAATTCATCTGGGGCATTAGTCTATCAGTTGTGGTGGGGGCGCTAATTGCTGCTACGTATAATCACAATTGAATGATTTTCGGTATCATTTTTCCATTTGGAAATGTTTGAGCCTGACGCTGCCACAGGATGGCCTTCCCTTGCGAATGGCGTCATGGGATATTTTAACGTTCACTGTGATTATTGCACACCGCAGTAATAATCAGGGCAGCCGCTGCAATCGAACCGTGAATCTCTGCAACCGAACCGTGAATCTCTGCAACAAGCGGTGAACACACTGCCACTTGTATTTTACTAGGTAAGGCCCACTGAACTATAATGCTCTTTTTCAGAAACAAATTGGCCAGAAATGATAGTTCAACGAAGTGACTTATCACGTGGACATTTTATCATAGCAGCCAAATACTCTAAACGCGTGATGTTGATTCTAAATGTGGAGGGAAAGCCCGGAGAAAAATACACGGGGAGAGAGACACGCAAACTCCAAGCATAAAGCAGGCGTCAGGGTCGGGGTTGAACCCACGAACCTCCTGTACACCAGGCGAGGTAGTTAACACCTCGCCAGGGGGGGGGGGGGGTCTCTGTGCCAAAGAAAGAGATACGTAGCATCGGGACGTAATTTCATCTGGCCCCGTCTGGATCAGCGACCCAGTAAAAGCCACATGTTTGCACCCGGCACACCACATCGTGGCATACCTAGTCGCACCACCGTCTGTGTGTCAAATTACCGCGGTGCAAGATGCACACGGCAGTAAGCACGGCCCACACACCCCCCCTTACGCCGCATCCGCTGTAGCCTCTTTTTTTTGTCGCACCGCGACCGCTGGCCCCATTAATGCGTCCGCGAAATGGCACAACAGCAGCAGCGGCGGCGGCGGCGTTGGTGGTTGTTGTTGTTGGAATCAATTCAGGGGCGGTCAACGGAAGCGAACATCATATTCCACAAACACCTCTCTGGTTCCCATGGCTACTGCGCAAGCCACGTCGCCTCGTCCGTCCCTTTACAATAATTGGCACTGCCGCAGAAAATGAAATCCATTTGGTGTGCGAGCAGCAGACGATGTCCCACGCGCGTGCGAAATGGGGCAGCTCTGGAAAAGGGGGGGGGGGTGTTGCCTTTTCTCCATTTTGGAAGCCGCAAAAGCTAAAAAGCACACGCACGGACGAGCGGATGGGATGTTGCTGTAGCTGATGATGACAACGATGAGAATGCAAACCCCCGGTGTAGCCTTTAACAGACTTTTGGGGTCAAGTGCTCTGATATCGAGACCGGAACGGCACACCAAGGGGTGGGTGGGTGGTCAGCACAAACAGTCTGCCGCCTTTGTCTCCCTAGTGCTGACGTCTACTCACCGCACAAGGTCGACATTGGCGGGGGGGGGGGGGGGGATGGAGAGTGGGGGGGCATGATCGGTTTAGATATTCGAAGTAGGCTATGAGTGGGAATCGAACCCTGGTCACGATTGTTCGTAGCGCAGTGCGCTAACCATCGCAACTCATCAGGGACGTGGCTTGGCGATTTTCTTTCTTCCTTCAAATCGATTTTTTTGGCGAGCTGCCAATTTCCATTGCAAATATGCCAAGGCCGTCATTTCGTGAGACGGAGAATTCGTAGAGAAGTATCGCTTCGTGTGTTCGCCTGACGGAACCAGACATTGCTGAACTACTTCTGAGATTCCCATCACATGTATCCTTCCACTAGGGGGCTCATTTTCCCACCCACAAGTGCTGCTATTGTTGTGCGAGTCAACCCGATGTAGTTAACGCGCTAAGTCACCAACACGCGTATTCGAGTCAACCCGGTATTTTTTTCAATTGCCGGAAGAATATTGTTTACGAAGCTAAGCGAAAACCGAAATGCAAGGTGACGAGTGTATTTGTTGTCGTAATTGTCACCGGGCTGAGATGTCAAGCCGCTACACCTGAAGATCCGGTTTAACACTCAAGGCTGGCTGCAACTCGAGATTATTACCAAATCTCAATTATGACAAAATAGTTTAATCGAAATACAAAGTACGAAGAGTTGAATGGGATAAGCCGTTCCGCTGTGCAGGTACACAGAAAGCGGACGATTGCGAAAGGTGTTTATTCGCCGTGTGCCCGTGGGCACTTTCCACCCTTCCTCCCACGTTCTTTTGATTCGTGTCGCAGCTGACGCGGGCATTGATCGATCGACACTGAATGGCCGTAAACGAAGGAGCGCGTGGGACTGGAGGGCCCCGTCATCATCACGACTTCGTGGGACGAAGTTAGACTCGGGCAGCCCATGCAGGAAGTGAGACAGAACGCGGCAGAGATGTTTCAGGGATTTTACAGCAGCACGGCAGTGTAACTCGCGTGGGGGGCAGTGGTGGGGGTGGGGGGGGGGCTGCCTTGGCCCCTATCCCCCTGGTGGCCAGAGCTACGAGTCGAGCTCCCCCCCCCCCCCTCCATTGATCACCAATACGAGATATGTTTTCAACAACAGTGTAAAATTAAAAAGTAATTTAAAAAGCGGTATACATTTATTGTTTTGTTTTTGAAATGGCTTTCATTTACGTTCCGCGTTTTTATTTAATTGAATGAGAGCCGGTCACGTTTGCCAACCGTGCGAGACAAAATCAAATATTGGCGGGGGGGGGGGGGGGGCAACTGACCGATTTCCGCACCCCCTGAAGCTGACCGTGGTAGCTGTCGACGCGCCACTGCAACAGCAGACGTGGTGTGCAGAGGCGAGATTTTTGGTTTGCTACACGTGATGGTTGGGGGGGGGGCCCGTTGAAACCAGTTGCTGCACGGCTGTTTTACACGGGGGGGGGGGGGGGGGGGGTCCGTGCGTGCGCGGTGCGTGAGCACAGCAACAACAACAACAAGACAGTGGCACGGAAAGGCCTGCATCCAGCAGTGGATAGACCACGACTGATGGCCACGATGAAGAGCCCATTGCTTACACAAGGTGCCCTTGTTTCTGACGGAGACCATTTTCTACGCAATAAAAAACGACATCATCATCATCTACCATGATCTATCCACTGCTGGGTGAAGCCCTACCCCCCCGGCCCGCAACCGCACACAATCCGTAGCCACCTCAACCGCAATCAATCGAGTCCAGCAGTAGAGTAAACACACACACGGACTCTCCGGCGCTCTATTTAGAGCAGGTTGCGAGGACTAGACGAGAGTGTCGAGTTTCAAACACCGAAACTCCTCCACCGAGGCGCATTTGCTCTCCCGTCGTCGCGGGACGCGTTGCGGATGCGACCCGGGTCACGGCTATCATGCGAGCCAAGCGCGCGGACGACGACGCGCGGCGTGATCCCGGTTTTGCGCGGATTCCACTTTCGGTAACCAAGTTATAGCGGCCACTCGTGGCTGCAGAGGACACGCCAACAACCGGGCGCGTCGGCCGACGGCGTGCGCGCGTGCGTCGCACTCGGCACTAGGGGGGTCACAGAGTGGTGGGTGCATCTGCCGGTCATCTCAAGGCAGCCAAACCCATGGCATCTGCTGGGTCTGTCCCGTGACCTCCTGCACCTAGCCTGGCACAGCAGGGGTCACAGAGTGGTGGGTGCATCTGCCGGTCATCTCAGTCAGCACAACCCATGACACCTGCTGGGTCCGTCCCGAGACCTCCTGCCAGCAGCGAGCCTTCCGACACTTCACGAGGCCTCAGGGTGCACCTGGCCTGGCACGGGCACCGCGGTGGCGTCACCGTCGCTTAGTGGTATTGGTACGTCGGATTTCTTTCGCACCGTACGTAGCCTGCCGTGCTAATCGGAGGTGCGGGGGAAGGACGGCAAAGGGCAGTTAAACCTGTGATCAAATCAGCTGGAATGCAGCTAGCTGATGTCATCCGATGTGGGCAGCTAAGCAGGTTGGAGTCTGGTTAGTGCTTGGATGGATGTTAATGTGTGCTGTAAGCATTCCTGATTTCAATACGTGTATCGAGAGATTATAATAATCTGCATCGATGAATCGATGCGTTGTTACTATAGCACACAGGGCAAGGCTATGGGTGTGTAGTTTTATCGCCATATAAAAAAACTGTACAGTCGTTTTATAATGCATACACTTCGCTGCGATTAGAGCGACCTGGGTCTGATTCCCAGTCAGCCCCTACACCCGCGCACCAACCACTCGCAAAATCCGCACGCACCAGCGTGGTGAAGTATGGTCAACAACCCCCATGACCGACACGAGGTGGGAGGGGCCGGCGGGGGGAGGAGGTCTGTCTTCATCCAGCAGTGGACTTGACAAAGCGCTACAAGATGAACCGATGTAAATTATAACGATGGCATTTCTGCAAGAGTTGTAAAGCTGAAATTACGCACAAAATGTACATGTTTATTCTTATAACGAATACCAACAACAAACAGTTGGGCCCCCCTGACAATTAACGGAGTTGGAGGTCGATTCGTGAACGCTGAACAACAACACGACAAACACAACCCCTGCAGCGTCCATGTGTGATCCCAGTAAGTCGCCTCTCGTGGAGAAATGACGCTGGCGACGATGAATTCCAACTTCCCCGGGTTGTTGTTTTTCACAGGCTGATTGCTTGCTCGATGTCGACACACGAGCGAGTGAGCGCCTTGTGTTGTGAGCTCCGCAGTGCACGTGACCGGCCATTCTGATCGATCTGTAAACGTGATTTTGCTGTTGTACGGATATCCAGGGTTCGAACCCGTCCACTTGGACGGCTACGGTCTTCCACGTGACGCTGTTGTTGTTATTGGCTCTCTGTCCCTCTCGCTTGTACGTGCACGTTACGATGTCATAGATTAAAAACAAGCAATATATTGCCATTTGTTTAACTGCGGTACAGAACAGTGGGTATAATTGCCCCATAGGCGGAGTTTGACTTCTATATTGGGGGGGCAAGGGGTTCGCTTTTCCCTTTTTGGCGCAGATTCGATTCGCGCTCACGTCTCCGGGAAGAGCGCATCTTGCACGCTAAGCGAGGTCTGCCTGTATCGGCGACGTACGGAGAGGTGTGGGCGCAGCAACTTGATAGGAGGTCAGATAGGGGGGCGGCGAGGTCGGCAGAGCGGACACGCAAACCCTTTGGTAATAAAACCAGATGCGCGCCGCGCGCTTTCAGGTGCGCCACTGCGGCCGTCTGGAACGCTCTTCCTTTCCGATATTTGGAAGCCACTGTGGTTGCTTTGCACTTTAAAATCATCATCATCTAGATTGACAAACTCGAGTCTTTAGAACTGCTTTTTGTGCTCAGTTTGTTGTCTTTCCCCCGCACCTCCGATGAGCAAGGGTCGGCTACGTACGGTGCGAAAGAAGTTCAACATACATACACTTGCAACCGAGTACATAGAGAGGGTGGGTGTAGGGAAGGAGCGGTGTCGGAGCGGTTAGCGCGCTGCGCTACGAACCCAGGCGACCCGATTTCGATTCCCGCCCCCGACCAACACCAATGACGATCATCTGTACGGGGTCATGGGCCTCCCCTAGGTCGACTCAGCCTAAAACGAGTACCTTTGTGCGGTGTCTAAACATCGCCACTGGGGAGACAAAGGCGGCCGGGCGTAAGTGCTGCCCCCCCCCCCCCACCCCCTCGTGTACCACAGTGCCGGCCTTCATAGGTGCTGCTCGCTATCCGCCACTTGCCCCAACAGCCTGTCGAGGCTTTACGGGGGATCTTTGTCTTTGTAAGGAGGGAGGGGTGAGAGAGCGCGAGAGAGATGCTGTGAGTGGAGGTGGTGGCTACTGTGGGAGGAGGGACGGAGAGGGTGGGAGGGGGGGTGGGCGACCCTGGGCCGCTGTCAACGCGGGGGGAGGAGGGAGGCGGAGTGAATGTTCGGCCTCGGCTCTGGGTAACAAAACCGCAACGCGTTCGCTGGATGATCGTCAGTGCATTCCTCGGCAGTGTTCCTGAGATTGCTACTCAATGATTTTCCTCGCTCCGTATTGCCACATCGATGCATGCAACGTTTCGCCATCGGGTTAAATTAGTTCAGTAAGCTAAAGGAGGCGGACAAGTACTGAAGAGTAGGCGCTCTAATTTTATACCTGTGCGTGTGTTCAAAGACACGCGCGCGCATCATTGACATCGTCAGCGTTGTAATTCACCGGTGCGTTGTGGGTTATAGAGTTGGTAACCAGGAGGGACGATTCGCGCTCTAGGTAATCAGATCCGCGTAGAACTAAAGCCACTCAGGACGTCACTGAGAGCCAGAGCCCCAGTGCGAGGAGACGCAAGGATACATATACCAGCGCGTGTGCGAGTCGAGTTGAACGACGCGCGTCTGCGCTGCGTCGTCGTCGTTTCTTATTCGTCTTGTGGAAGTCGGAAGACGGGAGAGACATGGCCACGGTGGTTGAGAAGAAAAGGCAAGTGATTATTCATCGTATTATCGTGGTGGTGGTGGCGGCGGTGGCGGTGTTGACGTCTTAATATGCGGGCGCAGTGATCAGCGCACGATGTGTGTTGCTTTGAATCTGGAATCGCCGAGGTTCTGATTTCCGGCCACGGTTAAACATTCGTGATTAGTGATGCTGGCTTGACCGGTTCTGCCGCACTGACCGCATAGTAGCGAAGTATGGTCCAACAACACCCGTGACGGGCATGGGGGAAAGCCTTCATCCAGCAGTGGATTTACAAAGCAGCTTTAATTGAGTGCTGCTGTTATTTATACAGAGCACTGTAATGTATTTACCCAGAAAAGCCTCACTGGGTCTCAAGGCTTGTTTGAGAAGGGTCCTGCTACATGGACACATTTGGCTAATACACGTGGGTGCCTCGTACTTACAGCTCCGCACAGATGGATTCTATAATCCATCGCTGTACTGCCATCTCGTGGCAACCTCGACGCCCATAGCCGAAATATTTTGGCATTCCCCAGCGGTCTCCCATTCAAATGCTAACCAGGCTGACACCGGCTTAGCTTCTGAAATCCGTCCGATTTAGTTTTTGTATCGGATTGAGCATTAGCGATTGTGGAAATGAATATAGCACACATCTGCTACTCATCATAATCATCATCATATGTGAATTGTCGGCATGCGAATGATCGCTTTACGTTTTTGTTGTCGCGATCTCTCCACTGTAATACATACGGAACTTGTTTGTTCTCAGTGGCCAGATAATGCGGAATGTTCTATCCAGTTAATTGGACGAGCGCAACGATGGAGGGGGATGGGTCGATATCGGTCCATGTGACTGGAAACACGACAGCGGCCCAGGGATCTCACCGCTCGCAGACAATCCCCAAGCACGCCCCAGGAGCTCGATTGAGAAGCACTGACCCCTAGGTCAGCACTGACCCCCTAGGTCAGCACTGACCCCACTAGGTCAGCGCTGACCCCCTAGGTCAGTGCTGACCCACTAGGTCAGTGCTGACCCACTATGCCAGTGCTTCTTCACCTGGCGTGCATCACGCGGGATGCCCTTTCTGGAGGGTGCGAGACATGGGCAGACATTATTATTTTTTTAGAAGGTAAATCGTCAAAAAACACAAATTAAACACGGGCGCATAAATGCAGCTACACCTGGTGACAACCGTTTGTGTTATGGTCGAAACGTCGTGAGAATTTTTATTGTTTTATATATTTTATTATTTTATTGTTTCCCTTCAACGTGACTTTACCGAAAGAGCTAAGAATGTGAATTACTGCAGTCACGAAAGCTTTAAATCAAAATGCAGCTACTTTGTTTTAATCAAACCCTATGTTGTGCATTAACATTATACATTTTTTGTTACACGATTGAGAACCAATGGGGGTGCAGGCTGCAGTAGAGGTTCAGAACCACTGCCGTAGGTCGACTCAGCCGACAACGGATAACTTTGCGTTGAGGTGCAACGCAATTCCCAATGTGGACTTGTGCACGGTGGAGCATTACTGACCGACCGACCGCCGTCACCCGCGTGGCGCTCGGATGGCGGCAGCTCTCGGAAGCTAAGCAGGGATTTGCGCCTGGGCCGTGCTTGGGATGGACGCGCACCGGTGCACAGGGCAGGTGTGTCACCACGGAGCTGCGAGCGAGGTGACCTGCACGTCGCGTGACCCTGTTGTACTGTGAAATCTGTGCTCCCTCGCCCTCACCAGCCCGCACTGACCCAGCGTGCTGGTGAAGTGTGGTCAAATATATTCGTTGGATCTTTCGGCAAAAGTCACGTAGATTGAAAAAATATAAAAGTAAATAAAACATTTTTTTTAAACTACGACGGTTTTTTTTTTATTTCCGGATGAAGATCGCTTGTGTTGTGATCGATACGTCGAAGTTTTTATTTATTTTATTCACTTTCATTTTTTCTATCTACGTGACTTTACCGAAAGATCCGAAGAATATGAATTCCTGCAGTCACGAAAGGTTTAAGTCAAAAGATTATGGTCAAATATCACCCACGGGCCACACGACGGCTACTTCAAGCAGCGTGTTGCTGGCCAACCCGCTCCCTCGTGTGCCGTTCCGACCTTCATCGGCGCTGCTACTCACTAACAGCACTCGCCCTAACAACCTGTTAGGGTTATGTGTGGGGTGGTCTTTAGTCTTTTATACTCGTAACCGGCAGCCTCGTCCGCCTTCTATCGGCTTTAACGTCACACCCCACGGGGGGCGAATTACTCGGTTCACTGGTGATGGGAGTCGATATACATGTGTGTTTCGCATAAGAATTAGACCAACGTAGAATTCTGATGCTGGTCCCTTGCCGTGCGAGTGAAACCAAATCCAACTTGCTCGCTGTCATTTTTGGGAAACTCAATTTCCAAAATGTAGTTAATCGGATTGTTTTTTTCCCTCCAAGTTGTATTTAAGCTTAGTCGACTGCAGTGCATTTGTCCAAAAGTGCACCTCTTTTCTAGCCCTTCTAGAACATTAGACATTGAATCTGTCACGATAGGCGATGCGATTACACGACACGGTTAAATATTGTATTCGTTTGGGAGTGGGTCTTTTTTTTTACAATCTGCGCGTTTTTAGGAAGTATGTTATTCTGCTACGCCCTATTAGTACACCGTGCGAATTTATCCAAGTCACGGTTCGTCGATTGTGTATTCCATGTCACCTCCTAGCAATGAGCCGATTATTGTTAGTGAGCACCTATTAAGGCCAGCACGGTGCGCAGTATTTAAGTGCTGCGGTATGGCCAGGACAGGTTCCGAATAACTTTCTGCTCATGTTAGCGTTGAGCAGAAGTCGAACCAAGGTCGCTGATTATTATTACTACTACCACGGAAGTGCGTCAACCACTGTGCCACCGCTCCCTTTAGTAAGTTCAAACCGCCAGAGCCAGAGCTCCCACAAGACGAGCGAGCAAGGATGTTCACAAAGCGTTGCATCACTTCGCATGCAACTGGAGATGTTGAATTCCTTGCCTGTCTGTTCACTGGGCTCTCTCGCACGTGTGTTGCGGGTGGGAGAAGATCCGTGCCGATGAGGCGGTCGGGGTAGCTCAGGGGTCAGACAGGGAGCACCGAGCCACGGCACTGCCGAGATTCAGGGTTTCGTTCTGAGCTGGGAAGCCGCCAAAATGCGACTTAAATCGGATTTTCAAGTTTAGCAAGTTGATGGTCTCAGCACGATCACTAAACATACTGCGCACGCCATAAACTAAACGCAATTTTCAGTTGTTGTGGGTGTTTCTTACTTCAATTAAATAAGTTCCATCTCTGAGAATAAAAACTATTGTTGTGTCTGCCATGCGATGGGCATTTCTCTGCTGTAGAGCGCATGAGAAGTGTTTTGGATTAAACAAACGTCACTTGAATGGATCTCAGAATGAGTTATCTGCTTCTGCATTTAGTTTTCTAAAATGTTGGGACGCACGGCTCTCTGCAAGACCAGTATGGTCAACCAACCCCTATGACTGATTACGCTTGGGGGAGGGGGGGGAGGAGCCGGGGGCTTCCATCCAGCAGTGGATTCAACAAGACCTGTAAAACACACAAAGCGTGCCTTCGAAGAGCACCGAGTAAAGGTGGAATTTACATAAGTTGTGATTGTGTGCATGTCTTTAAAAATGCACACCGATGACCAGTGATGCACGTAACTTTGAAAATCGCATCCTCTAACGGGGTTTCCCCTCCCCCCCAATTTGAAATGAGGCGTGTAACACGCGAGTTGATATATCAATGGAAACGTTAGCCACGGCTGAGACCAGGCGTGTGGTACCTGCACTCTAAGACAGGTCTGGCGAGTAATTTTCAGTAATTTTCCACAGTGGTTGGCGGTGGGGGTGGGGGGTGGTGGTGGTGGGGTGTTGACGGACTGGCAGTTTTCATGGACTGTATTGCTGAAATCTTTTCACAAGCAGACGGAGCCCACCCGTGCTGATCGGAGGTGCGTGGCAGGGGAGACAAAAACACGAATCGAATAACCCCGGGAGCGATTTGCAAGGCGTGAGCCCGCCCCCCCCCACCCCCTTTAATTTCTGACCGAGTGTTTTCCAGTTTCCTGGTTAGACTGACCAGTAGCCTAAGCCAATAGCGAGATGTACACGTGATGCGGTGGTGTGCCGGGTGCGGACGTATTTTTTTGATTTGTCGTTCTGTTCGCTGATCCAGAGAGACCAGACACAAATTCAGACCGTTACCAATCCACTGCAAGATGGAGGAATACATTTCGGTCATGGGGGGGGGGAGGTGGGGGTTGTTTTGACCATACTTCACCACGCTAGCCGGTGCTGGGGTGGTGGTGAAGGGGTGGGGTGGTCGCCCTGGACCGGGTCCAATCGTGTTGGCCGTGGCCAGGACTCAGACTCATGAAGTTGGGTTCATAACCCAGTACGCTACCTGAACTGTCGCACCACGCAAATAAAAAAATAATATAAGGCAACGTGAGTTGACCGAAGTGTTTGCATATGCAGGATGGACAACAACAGGACGATTAAACGAGTGTTGTTGTTGTTGTTGGGGAAAATGTAAGGAACAGGAAAGAGAGGAAGACCTCGCAGAGAGTGGCTTTTGACGACGATGTTGTAAGAGATCGGTGCCAGAAGGATGTGGCCACGACTTGCGCGTATTTGGCACAAGACGGAGGAAAGTGGAAACAACTGACGCGATGTGCAGTGGGCACCAGCGGGGCTATCTGTCCATGGATCGTGATGGTGTTTACATATACCGTGCATGTATACACAGACACATTCATATACCGTGCATGTATACACAGACACATTCATATACCGTGCATGTATACACAGACACATCCATATACCGTGCATGTATACACAGACACATCCATATACCGTGCATGTATACACAGACACATCCATAATATAGTTTTTTTGGGGTTAGACCGCGTAAATAGAAATGCGTCGTTCAGCCCGCCACCACCCGACAAAGCCAATTTGTAAGGTTTGTCACGTAAACAGACCATGCCAATTCGTTAC